CTGTTCATAAAATATCTGAACAACAAGGATGATCCAGAGTATCAAGAAGAGAAAGAAAAAAAAATGCTGAAGATTAGAGAAGGGAACGAAAAATTCTTCAGCATTCAAGAAGAGCGTCTGAAACTCGATAAAGATTTTTGTTACGCTGATTGGTCGCTTCGTTTAGCCAGAAAAAAACTTGCAGAGCTCCTGTTCCAAAATGATCCGAATGCAGCATCACTGGATTCTCGAATCGAATTTCTGAAATCAAATCGCAATTTTGTTGAAGGTATCTACCAATCTCTTATTCTCCAACTAAACAAACAGCCAAAATCCGAGCAAGCCTCTACTAGTGGAACCCAGAACCAATCACAACATCATAAAAGTCCATCATCACCAAGCGAAGCGTCTACAGTTCAACACACTCAAGCATCATCCAGTACACAAAGAGCTTCCAAATCCCATTCTCGTTCTCGTTTATGGAAAACTTCCAAATCCAAGAATGAGCGCAAATCATTTTTGAGTCCACCCAGTTCTGAAGATTCAGATGAATCACCCGTTTGATTTGATTGCTAATCTGAACTGGTTTCGACTGACTCGATTGTGTTTTTATTTGAATAAAATACGATACGATACAATATGATTACCATTTGATATTTGATATTGGAAGTACATGTATGTGTGTATCGTGTCGATATGATATTGCTTGACATGTCATATTGACACATACAACACCAATACCAACAATAGTCATGTGTGTCGATATCAGATCCAACCAATTTGACTGGTTTGACTCGTTGATTGTGGTGTCAAAATGGTTGCATCAATAGCCTGACTGATTACACACATCAGTTGCAGTGTCAACTGTGTAGTGTGTCAAGTATCACATGTTGAATATGCAATGCCAACAATATGGTCATTATGCACATGTTGATGTATTCAGTGATCGTATACTGGTCGATTGGTGCAATATGATCACACACCAATGGAATGTAATAATCATGATATTTGCAGCAGTATACCATATTGCAACTGTTGATATCGCGCATCCAGTATCGACATGATCATCCAGATATACAGTGATGAATTCAAACAATGCATACCATGATTGAGCTACATGATGTGTATTCAATCAATACCATGTATTACCAATACAATAGTATGCGTGATCATCGTGTACCAAACAACTACGATACACACTGGACTGATCCAATACATGCACGGCTTGAACATATCACACAGTCAAACATGGACACACCACATTAAATATACATATAATATCAGTATGTCACTAATGTATTGTATTTAGTCGAGTTTATCGTGAGTTATTGTGACTGTTGACAGTGTGGTGAGTGTTTTCAGGTACAACTACTTGATCGTTGTAGTTGATGATTATTAACACCAAGAGTCCTGACGTACATCATCCATGCAACAATAACCAGTTTTATTGCTATATATCTGTTTATCCATCAAATTTCTCATAATTAGGCTTTGAATGCTTACTACCACGACGAATACTACCAAGTCGCGAAAACGATCTCCTGAGAGTAGATCTGCCATCTGGAATTGAAGTACTTGGTTGTTCAGGAAATCTAACAATATGCATCAAATTCATGATCAGTATCAATCAACACATGCACACATCAATATCAAACAACTTACTGTGATGGTGACCAGATCACTCGATAACCGTTTGAAATAATAGGATATCCATCAGTCGAGACTTCGCATCCACATCCAGGACCAAATCCAATGCGTTTATTTGTTCGATCAAATGTCAATCCAAGTCGGGCCATAAATGATGTACCAAGAACTGCATTATCATTTGGACCAGCTTGTACAGCAAACAGGTCTATAGTTCAGCAGGTATATTAGTCAGGTTAATCAAACAACACATATTGCATACAATTGTCAAATATTTACAATCTTTAGAATTATAGCTTCGTAAATAGTCTTTGGGACCCAGTTTGATCGTTACAACGGAATCGTGGTTGTCATCAGTTACAGGAGTTTGAGCAAACACTGTAATTGTAATTGTCGGCAGCTTGACCCAATCGATATTATACTTGGATTTAGTCATTAGATGGTTGTTCTGTAGCTTCTTTTTAATTATTATTTTGCCGAGCTTGCTACTAATCATAGTATTCTTGATAGTGATCGCACCACTATTAAGGATATCATTGATCAGCACATCCACGACTGCTTGAGGAAAACGCATATACATAAAGCATGTATGTAGATATGAATACAAAGCACGTCCATTTTCCACAACTTGCTGAAATTCCTCGGGTAGATCCACTTGTTTGTCATTGATTAGTACACTCTTGATGTTGACAGTAAAATAATCGTTTGTCGGTGAATTTACCCATGCAATACTCCTTCCATCCGTTCCACATTTTTCAGCTACGTCCGTATTTCCTATATTGATGAAACTTTTTGAAGTCATTTCATACGGACATAGTTGAATGCCAATCTCGTTATTAGGAATAACACCATAATTGTACAAAATATCCATTGCAGTGGTTGGTGGATGATGCTTTGACAACGAGAAATAGGCAAACCCAAATACTCCTTGCTTGAGTTTTCCACCAATGCCAACTAGATCTGGCGATTGTTTTTGGATTGCTAGTACAGGTAAATCAATGTCAGTTATCCCAGTACCCGGAATCGTCACAGCTGCGTCGGAACTAATTCCTCTATACTCTTTGCCTTTGTAATTTATAGTAACGGGTTGCCCACTTGGAGTGTATTGCGGAGTCAAACCTACATCGTTGCTTGAACTAGAAAGTGGTACAACTATATCAGAAAATGATGAATCGACTTGTAAACCCAACTATTTTAAACAAGTGTGAGATTGATTAAACGTGGTGCAAATTGATATTAAATTACAGTGCATGACATGATACATACATTGATTCCATCAATATTGACTTTAATTGTGAAACATTGATCAGCATCATGACGCAATTCAACGGGTGATCGTTTTGATAGCCTGTTGTTTGACTGACTGTCAATTCCAATTGGTGATTCTAATGAAACTCGAACTGCAGAAACCGCCTGTAACGCAAGTAGAATGCATTCTAGAGTAATCAGCATTGTATCAAGTAGTGTGATGAAAATATCTTGAATCTGATACATGACTGCCGTTTTATAATGACGGCAGTTTCAAGGGTGACAATCGGCAATTTTCAAATGGGTATTTAAAAAACACAAGTACACCATGTAGGGTGGACAAAGCCGAACACACCCTGTAGGGCGAATCAATATACAAACATTGCTGATAGTGGAAAATAAACCTGAGTATTATGCTGCGTTGATATTTTCAATTGTGGTGATGTATCCAGTGATCAGGTAGTGTCAAATTGTCATTCTGATTATGGATAATTATCATCACATATACAATCCATTACTACAGCATATACTGTCACTGTATACCAAATACTTGACTGATTGTTCGATTAGTCATGTTTTGGATCACTCGGACACAACAGCATCAAACAGCCTGTTGTTGCAGTATTTCAAAACCATGACTTTTTTGTTGGTATGACTGCACAGTCATTTTAGGTCAATGTAGACTGTATACGTCAAACACTGCTGATTGTGTCACAACATGATCAACATCAAACTCGGCAATCTGTCGCTGCTACACTGAATGAGTGACATTGTACTATAATTGAATTGGGGATTGGCAGGTCGTTCAACAAACTGGCCGTGTCAACAGGTCAGATTGTCATCGTGTACATGAACCATAATGGATGATCATGTCATTCAAATCATCACACAATATACCGATATATGCAAAACAACACCACCAATACAATCCAAATCAAACCCAATCACAAACGTGGTGTTGAATCCAATGCATGCGAGTACTTTTTAAACACATGATACACACTGATGGTGATGGTTGCTGACAGTCATATTGCAGTGTACATGTCCAATAGTGTCCACTGTCATGTCGATTGTTGCTATCCGTGACATCCAACTAGATCACAATCAATGTCTAACAAATACAACACAGTAAACTAGCCACAAGTATCCAAGAGTATATCAATTGATGTGATCCAACAAAACAGCAGAGTATTGACTGCTTTGTTAAAGTGCATTCAATCAAGAGACTCCAGCATCTCGAGTAGAAATATCAGATTTGTTCACCTTTGCACTGAATCCACAACAAATCGCACAGATTACAAGCAAAATTTGGACAAGTCGAAATGGCTCAAATTTACAGCTGAAACCAAAATGGTATACAATCGCATTCATGTAGAGTTGAACACTATCTTGCAATGATTGACTGTTGGTTTGGAATAAACAATGCTGAATATTGGTTGTAGTTTTGTACTGGACATTGACTGTTGACTCAATATACATTATGAATTATTATAAACAGTGTCAATGATATGATGCTCACAAACTATGATTTTGAACTGAAATAGTCTTGAACCAGCGTTTGTTGTTTCTGTTGTATTCTGAATCACAGATACGATCGCAATCTAGTTCAACAACAATCATGACACATATCAGTAATGCAACTGTTGTTTTCATGCCAATCACCACCAACAATATCACTGTATTGTCAATCAGTTCATGACACTGACTGTTTATCACACACCAACACTGTTATTTGGTGGTCTATTCAAGTCAATATGGCTGTAATATCAATCAACTATTAGTATCTACTCGACTATCATCAACTCAATACATGAAATGATCTCATGAAAACAGGCCATATTCATACAAGCATATGCTGTTAATGATCTCATGAAAACAGCACATATTCATACAAGCATATGTTGTTGGTGCCTCAAGTTTATTGGTAAACCCATGTTTGTTGGTCTCAGTAATAATCACAACGTGCTGTTTGTTACCACTGGTACGCTATCGGCACAAACTCGATTGATCCAACAGCCATATAAACACATTGTTGTCAGTTACATCGAGTGTTTGTCCAAATAGGTTGATTCAGATGGATTGCATATAACTGACTAATCCAGCATTCATCCGTTGTCAAACAACCATAATGCACAATACCACCAAGTGTGCAATTACACTCGCACTGATCAGTCATTGCACAGTATGCATCAGTCAATGTCCAACATATGTGTGTCTGCAACTAAATTGCAGTCCATGACACATCCACACGATCCAACATGACAAATCATGTATCATGAGTCCAAGATTGATCAAAAACCTGATCATGGTAAACACAGCATGTTGTTGTATATCAGAGTCGATATATCGAGTGACAGTTGCACACTTGCTGATGGTGCACAGCGTATCAGTCACAATACATGCACGGTATTGCATTGCAGTCATTGAATGACAGCTGGTTGCAATGTGATACCGATCGACATACATCAGCATGGTATGATGTGACCATAATCATGGTGGAATGTGTTGGAGTTGACATTGTGAGTTGACAATCAATACACCATGCACATGACTGGAACATATGCATTCGAATGTGGTTTGGTTGATGTCCAGTTGATCATGCAATCGCATCGGTGCAACGAGTGAGTGAGCTAATGGTGATCTGAACCCATTTCAACAACAAGAAATTGACAGTCATGTATTTGCATGCATTCAATATGTGTCGCACACCGTTGTTGACTGTTGACTGTGTATGCAGGTCAAGTTACCACCAACCACCAACCAGATCCAGTGCATACATGATCATTAATAGAATGACTGCCAAGAATATTCGTGTCTGAAAGTTGATTGTGAGTTGGTGGTTTGCAAGAACCGGGCACAACCAACATGCTATTGGATACAGCAACCTGATTATATTCCAGTCACATGGTGTGATACAGTGGTTGTGCAACACAACACCCAGATATTTGTAGTGTTGAACACGACGAATCTGTTGTCCGTGTAGCATCATATCAATTGGTAATTCGGAATCAAAGTATTGACCAACGCTTTGCAAGTATTAATGACTGAATCAAAAAGCATAGTGGCTCCAAACAATCGCTTGCAGCATGTCAAGCAATATCATATCGACACAATACATACATGCATATCTGCATCATCAATGTGTACAACTATGCAATATATAATCAACCATATTGTGTTGGAAATACAAGTGTCAGTGTACAATATGATATCATGCCAACCAAGACTGTGTACAATGATCAGATATAATATCAAATGGTAATTGTATCGTATCATATTTTATTCAAATAAAAATACAATCGAGTCAGTCGAAACCAATACAGATTAGCATTCGGATCAATCGAATGAATCTTCATTTTCAAGTTGATTTCAGCGTGATCCAAGGTTATTTCCATTATTAGAGGATTACTCTGATTTTGACTGTTGGCTTAGTTGAAGAGTGAGAGATTCGTAAATCTTTTCAACAAAATCACGATTTGATTCCAGAAATTCCACATAAGAATTCAGTGATGTTCCACTCGGGCCATTCTGGAACAGGCGCTCTGCGAGATTTTCTCTGCTATAATTCAATTGCGAAGTAGCGTAATAAAGGCTGTTACCGATTCTCTCACACTTTTTTACAATCCGTTTGAGTTCTCTTAGCGCTTTCTTAAGCTTCAATTTAGAATTTTCAAGCTCTTCTTGATACATTGGATCATTCTCGTCTTGATAAGGTTTATGTAACAGTTTCTCTTTTTGTTCAGTTAGTTGTTCCACCAATTTTCCTTGGTCAAGCCTTTCAAAATTGGCCACGTCATACGGTTTGTTGATATCATCATATCTTTGATCCATTAGTAGATATTCTTCAATCAAATTCGCATCATTCTCTGAAAATTGACTGATATCAACTAAACCCGTAGCTTCTTCATGAGAAATTTTCCGATACTCAGATTCAGTACTTGTAATTTCAGTGGGTTGAGCTGTTGAAGTGCTAGTTTCAGCACTTGTAGCTGCACTGGGATTGACTGGGATGGCTGTAGTAACCGAGCAGATGGCCAGGATTGATGCCAATATTGTGACTGCGAGTTTCATTGTATTGGCTTGGTTGAGCAAGTTGTAATTATTGGTATTCAACAAGCAAGGCTGGACTGTATTTATATCCACTATTGGATGGATTGTATTAAAAGCATATTGGATGACCGTTTTAGGGATTGGCTTTATTATTAGGGTTGATGGTGATTTGTCACCAATCTCAAACTTTAAAGGGTTACTCCTTATATGATCACCCGCAATATTGATTAAACCACTGTTTGACTATACATTCGAGTATCATATGGTTGATTGTGTTTTACACCCTTATCCACCCTAAAAGGGTCAGTGTGTTGAAATATGAACAGATATGTACATGTTTAAACAAGACTATATGCAACTGAGCTGATATTCAGTTGTTGGATGGTCATCAATATGTGTTGTGGTTGACATGATTCAACATGTGGTTTAGTGATACTTTACATTCAACTCGACACGATCAATCATCACTACACATTGTCCAGTAATTCAATCAATCAACTGAATCAATACAATGCAGTTCATGTTGCAACCACAATGTCACATTGATGATCAATGACTTGCAACTGTTGTGTTGGCATTGCATGTTGGGTATTACTATATCAATATCGATTGTCACTATAGTTGTATCAATCACACATCATGATCATATGTCATGATTGACTCGTATTCTGGATTGATGCACTCATTCCACTCCACTCCATCACTCGAACACAAACATCGTATGGCTTGTTGATTACTAATACCCATATTGATCGAATACACACTACATGACACATGTCAGGTTAGCGTATACATTCCACTATATATCACATCATGTTGCTGATACCACGCATTGTGATTCAACAGTCAATCTGTATTCGAGTTCAACTACAATTGTTCGTGTCAATCATAATATACACGACCAATTGTAGTCGAGTTGATCCGACTGAATAGAGTCCGAGCCATCATGTTCATATCAAACCATTGTAAACCATGACAAGTCTATTGCACAACTCCACTCGTGTTGATTACAACATGCTATTCAGAAATGTATCATATTGTCCTGTAATGACTGTGCATGATTGTACATGGTTGTTTGGAACCAGTAGCTCCGTTGATTGATATCCACAATATGATCCAGTAGTCGTCCAGATTGTGTGTTGTATTGGGTGTGTTGGATGATGATATCAACCTGTAGTCAAGGTTTGACTATCTGAACATGTCGGTGACTTTTTACCAACTGTGTGCAACTCGATGTCCAATATCGAGTCATGTCATTGGTCAATTGATTGGTTCAATTCATCAGTGGGTTTGCTGGATTCATGTGGTGTGCAGCACTTTCAAGAGTATGTTGAATCTGTTGCAGTATTGGAACTTTGTAAACGGATCAACATACTAACCTGACCATGACTGTGGTGGTTATTGCAGTCGAGTCGTAAAGCTTATTCTGACAATCATTGATGGTTTGGACAATCGTTTGAATAATCGTTTGGATGTCAGGTTATGGTATCCTGATTGACAACTCGACTCGGATACAACTTTGATTTGAACAATTACTGATCAATGGATTGGACAATGGACTAGCAATCAATCAACACATTGACAGATTTGGCATTCCAAATGGAAACAACGACAATCCAGTTGTAATCCATATTGAGCCTTGAATTCAAACAGTCGTGAATCAAATCATTAATAAACTACAAAAACAGTCCAATATGACAACTCGCATTTATCCACAACTCGATACGTGATGTTCAAATGTCTAATATTCAGACTGTGCTGATTGCAATTGTGGTTGTGGTTGTGGTTGTGTGTAAATATCAATCCAATACTCGATTCAATACTTGATTCAACTTGAGCATGTCCAGTTTTGTAGTAATCCATTTGATCACATTGACAGAATCAAGCAATGATCTGATTCAACAACACCAAATGATGCATCCATATCACTTGTATCAATCAATTGTACACGATCAGTCAATATAATCAACAATCACTGTCATGATTGATTCAATTCATTCAATTTATTCAATCCATTTAATTGCATAGATCCGACTGGCATTGCAACTCATTGTTGTATAAATCACAACCTCACAATCCATCACCAAAGACCAAGATTATACTTCCGCTCATATCTGTATTCGTTGTATGCTCTTGTGATTTGAGTTCGGTCACTTGTCAATTCATCTCGATGGTGTTTGGCTTCAGTTGGTGATTGAACACCTTGAATATACTGCGTGATATCATTCCACAGTTCAGGCAGTATGGGTGTCTTGTCAAAACTCGAGTTGTACCATTGTGGTTGTTGCGGAGCCACATGTGCAGTCGAAACAATCCGACAGGCTGGATTCACTACAAAAAATGTCAAAATCTTGCAATGTCCTGGTTGAGTTGGATCTGCAAGTTCAAATGATTGTTCTTTGTGTTGGTATTGATTGGGATAAACTACACACCGACCATTTGGTAATTCAAGCGATCCTATATACTGATTGCGTGGTGATTCTCGATCAATGTCATACACATCTTTCCAATAAATCTCAGATGCTTTTCGACGTTCAAACCGATCAACAGCCTCGCGGAAATCGAGTTTGGGTGTGGTGATATTTTCCACGTCGTAGTAATACAGTCCAGTTGCAATAATCGATTCGTTAATTGGACCTTCAATGTGCCAGTTTCCCTCGTCGTATTTAGGTTTGGATGGTGTCAGTTGAATGTTGGTGAGTTTGACAATGACTTGCAGATTACGACCACGCAGTGATACTGGCATTGCTGATTCATATTTGGATTGGAAATGTTCCGGAAGTGTTGGTACATACACGGGACGAATGACTCGAGTGTCTGGTTCCATATCATCATGATCTGACTGGCTTGATGACTCATATCCCTTTGTGCCATTACGAAGATCAATATACTTGAACATTGGATCCATCGTTCTGAACAGACTTTCAAACATCGGGACAAAACATTTGAATATTTTGGCAATGCATTTATACATGTCTCGATGCCATATCGGATTCAGATTGTTGATGTATGAGTTGATGGTCACACTGCCATCCTGTTCGACACGGAATTCACTCGGAAGCCATTGGAACTTGCATGATATAAACTTGGGACTGCTGTCAATGATGGGCGTATCTGAAACAAGTCGAGTCGATAACAATATATCGCATGGTACCATTGTGGTGTATTTGAGTCGTATACTCAGTGGTACAATCATCGTTTGTCCATATACAACACTGTACATTGATGCATCAATCAGATTGTGCACCATTTGACCAGTGTTGTGATTTGATCCATGTTCAATATCCGATACATTTGTCATCAATCGCGTATGTACATTGTCAGGTATGCCATTGTCCAGTATATACGTCAGTTCAACAGGTCCTGGGACAATTGTGCCCAATCCATCACTGCCATTACAAACAAGCTGTTTGACAAAAACCTCGAGTTGTTCCAATGCAAGATTAAATGTTGATGGCAATATATTCCGATCGAGTGAGTCAGCCCTCCATTGCTCCACAATATGCTGGCTTGTGATATCGATCCACCACATGGGTTTGCAAAGTATAGATTGCAGATACTGGATATACCGCATCTCGACAAGTGTGCGTACCTGTTTATATGGATATCCGGCCATTCCAGATTTCATATCAATTTCGGCATTGTCATCGTATGGCTGAATGCTCGAACTAGCAACGTGAACCCGATGCTGGAAACACGTTTCAATGATCTGGCCAATAATATTTTTGTTTCTGTAGTGAGTAGTATCCGATTTTACAATAGCCGTTAGATTTTCAAATATCCCGCCTTGTTCCAACTCGGTACGTATTGAACTGTCTGGATGATTGTCGGCAAAATCAACAAGTGTTTTGAGTAGTTTTACAATACCATTATAACCATACAGATTTATATCTCTACGTGAATAAATAGTGTTGAGTTGGTTCACAATTCCATATTCTTGGAACGCCTTGATCATCTCGGCCTTGTTTGTAGATTTCTGAATCATGTCGTTGACATATCCAAACAGGCGAAAAGAGTAACCCATGCGGAGATCACACATCGATATCGTCAATTGCTCAAAAACCAGCGATCGTACAAGCGATACAGGAAAGTCGTGCATTTTGGATGCAACTGATCCCGCCATGCTGATTATGCGTGTTTTTAGTTCAAAGTTGTCGCTGTGTTTGATACACAAGTCGTTCAGTGTTTGAATCAAATCCGATCTTATCAACTCGGCTGAAATCATTTCACAATCTGTAGCATTGCATAAACTATCAATAGTATCAATACTTTCACAAATCACTGCTTGATCGACACTCCTGTATTCATGTCATGTCAATCCAACCATGTCAAATT